AGTCATCTCTAAGGTCTTAGCTAGAAGATTGAGTTTGTATCTCAATGATATTATAAGTCAATCCCAATTTGCTTTTATTCCGGGGAGAAACATCTTGGATTGCTCTTTTATTGCAAATGAGAGTGATTTTTGGAGGAAGAGAGGGCTGAAGGGAGCAGTTTTCAAGGTGGATTTTATGAGAGCTTATGATTCGGTAGATTGGAAAATTTTGATTCAAATTATGAGCAAAATGGGGTTTGGTGAAAAGTGGAGGTCGTGGATGTTCCAGTGCATGTCAACTGCTGAGAGTTCGGTTCTGTTAAATGGGTCTCCTACGGAGAAATTTCATATTTCCAGAGGTCTGAGACAGGGTTGTTCGCTTTCACCTATGCTTTTCAACTTGGCTACTGAGTTGTTGCATTTACTGTTAACTAAAGCAGTGGATATGGGATTGTTTTCGGGGTTTGATTTAGGACTGCAGGACCGAGCATTCAAGCTATCACACTTTCAATTTGCGGATGATCTTATAATTTTCAGTAAAGGTTCCATTCGTGAGTTGAGGAATATTAGAAGAGTGTTACTGATTTATGAACTTCTGGTGGGGCTGAAGTTAAATCTAGGTAAAAGCAGGATTTTTGGAATCAATGTTGAAGATGGGGAGCTAACTAATTGGGCTGAAGTTATTGGCTGCTCGGTTAGATATCTTCCATCTGAATATTTAGGTCTGCCTCTGGGGTTCAAGAGGAATTCGGCTGCTATGTGGGATCCTATAGTGGCGAGATTTCATGCTAAATTGAGTGGTTGGATAGCTAATTCTCTGTCGATAGCGGGAAGAGTGGTTTTTGTCAAATCGGTGCTATGCTCTCTTTCGGTCTATTTTCTGTCTATGTTCAGAATCCCAGCTGCTGTGATACTTAAACTTAACTCTATCATGGCTTCATTTCTGTGGGGGGATTCGATTGACAAGAAAAAAATCCATTGGGTCAACTGGAAGTCGATCTCTAAACCAAGAAATCTGGGGGGTCTAGGGGTCCCTAATCTAGCACTTTTGAACCGAGCTTTACTAGGAAAATGGGTTTGGAAGTTTTCTTCTGATAAGAAATCTTGGTGGAAGAAAGTGATTTGTGCCGCCTACAATTTGGATCCGAAGTCCATTATTTTGGAGAATTCGGTGCCAGCTCGTGCATCGTGGATTTGGAAAGGTGTGGTGAAAAACTTCTTCAACAGTGATGATTTTGGAGAGTGTCTTAAAAGGAATATGCGTTTGAAGGCGGGGAAAGGGGAAGATGTGCAATTCTGGAATGATGTATGGTTGGGTGATGTTCCCCTGAAATTGTTGTTTCCTAGACTTTATGTTCTATCAATTAATAAATCGGGTAAAGTGAAGGAGTTTAGGTAAATAATGCTTCGGGTTGGGTGTGAGACATCCAAATGAAGGAATTTGGCTGATTGGGAAGTAGAACAGTGGATGCAGTTGATTTCTATGTTGAATAATATCTCTCCTTTTCCTACTGAAGATGATTGTTGGATTTGGCTAGGGAATGGTGAAGGAAATTTTACAGCTAAATCTTGTTTAAACGCTTTTTATGAACAAGGTGGTTCTGAGCAGAATCAAGTGAATTGGGATAAGAATATTTGGTCTGGTTTAGCTCCTCCAAGGGTGGAATTGTTTGTTTGGCAACTAGTGCAACAGAGTACCGGGTTAAAGAGGAGTTAGCAAGAGAGGTGTTGCAGAGATTGTTGACCAACGTTGTGTTTTGTGTGGTAGGGGAGGTGGAATCAGTTTCCCATCTATTTCTGCATTGCAGGGTTGTGTGGGGTATGTGGTCCTCCTTCTTGAAAATGTGGAATGTGTCATTGGTGACTCCAAAGTGTACCATGGAATTTCTAATTTTGTGGGATGATTTTATGACTAACTCTTTGATTTGGAAATTCATTCCTAGGGCAGTGATGTGGTCAGTATGGAAGTGTAGAAATGAGATTATCTTTCAGAAAGGAAAGCTGGATTTGGTCAGATTATCTTTCATTGTTAGATTTAGAGTGGCTTCCTGGTTTAGTGCTCGTTTCAAGGATGTGGGTATTCCTCTAGATTCTCTAGTAGGTGATTTGAAAATTGCTGATTCGATTGGTAGATCAGGAAAGGATTGCTCTCAACCTGCTTGCTGGTTCCTCCACCGGAGGGGTTTCTAAAGTTAAATTTGATGGAGCGATGGTTTCGGTTGGGAAAAAGGAGGTATTGGTGGTCTGTTTCGAGATAGCAGAGGTCTATTACTTCAGTGGTTTTCTGAAGCAGTAGGGGGTGGTCCTCCTATCTTGGCAGAGCTGTTGGCTATCAAAAGAGGGATTTGTCTTATAGAGGAGTTGGATTTTGTCGCAAATCAGAGTTATCTTGGAATCAGACTCATCTAACGCTCTGAAGTGGATCCAGAATCCGGGTTTAAGCCCTTTGCATCTATCCTTGGTGAAGGATATATTTTCGCTTTTGATTGGAAAGGATATTATATTTAGGCATATTTCAAGGGCGGCAAACTGGGAAGCTGACAAACTTGTTAAAGATGGGATAGGGTGATTTTGGTTATTGTTGTGTGTTTAACAGGAATTGTACCTCCCTGTTTGTTGGATGTTTTGTGTTAAGTTTTATGTTTTCTGTTGGAAGTGTAGGAGTTTGTTCATCTTGTAATCTGGTTCTTGTGAATAAAAGTTTTCTTGGCTTCTTTCCTCCTTCGTTGTTCCTTCATGTTACTCTCATAACATGGAGGGATTGAAGGAGGATTTTAATGAGGCCTCTTCTATCAAAAAAAAAAGAAAAAAAAAGCAAGTAACCGAAAACAATAGCTTCAAATACAGAAAGCTGCCTAAAGCAAACCCTATAATCACCCAATCCCCTCCTTCGCTGAACTATCAGACTCGTAATTACAAGCCCTTGGAATCAACATAACTATAGACACCTTATCTGAGACAAAAGACAATCTCCTTTACTAGAGAAATAAAGAAAGCAGGAGAGAAAAAGGCTACTGGATCCACTCCAGTGCAGACTTACAATCACTTTCTACAATCAATCTACCAACAGGAGCCCAAACTGAAGAGAGAAAGATCTCGATGCCTCTTTTAATGGCTTTTAATTCAGTTACTGGAGGGGGCCTTGACCAACACTTTCAGAAAAGTCAATAGAGTGCAACAATTCCAGTCTCTTAAAATACCATCGATACCTCCTGCCATCCCGTTGAACCTTACTGCCCCATCAACATTCATCTTAAAAAAATCAACTGGAGGGGGTAGTCAGCAAAGCACAGGACAACCCTGTGACTTTAGAACCTTGGTGAAGGATATATATTTCGCTTTTGATTGGAAAGGATATTATTTAGGCATTTCAAGGGCGGCAAACTGGGAAGCTGACAAACTTGTTAAAGATGGGATAGGGTGATTTTGGTTATTGTTGTGTTGTTTAACAGGAATTGTACCTCCCTGTTTGTTGGATGTTTTGTGTTAAGTTTTATGTTCTTCTGTTGGAAGTGTAGGAGTTTGTTCAATCTTGTAATCTGGTTCTTGTGAATAAAAGTTTTCTTGGCTCTCTTTTCCTCCTTCGTTGTTCCTTCATGTTACTCTCATAACATGGAGGGATTGAAGGAGGATTTTAATGAGGCCTCTTTCTATAAAAAAAGAAAAGAAAAAAAAAGCAAGTACACCGAAAACAATAGCTTCAAATACACAGAAAGCTGCCTAAAGCAGAACCCTTATAATCACCCAATCCCCTCCTTCGCTGAACTATCAGACTCGTAATTACAAGCCCTTGGAATCAACATAACTATAGACACCTTATCTGAGACAAAAGACAATCTCCTTTACTAGAGAAATAAAGAAAGCAGGAGCAGAAAAAGGCTACTGGATCCACTCCAGTGCAGACGTACAATCACTTTCTACAATCAATCTACCAACAGGAGCCCAAACTGAAGAGAGAAAGATCTCGATGCCTCTTTTAATGGCTTTTAATTCAGTTACTGGAGGGGGCCTTGACCAACACTTTCAGAAAAAGTCAATAGAGTGCAACAATTCCAGTCTCTTAAAATACCATCGATACCTCCTGCCATCCCGTTGAACCTTACTGCCCCATCAACATTCATCTTAAAAAAATCAACTGGAGGGGGTAGTCAGCAAAGCACAGGACAACCCTGTGACTTTAGAACAGAGCTGATATCTGCAAGGGATGGATCTCCAATCAGCGTATCCTCCTGGATAAGGACATGAGGGAACTTGGCTAGAAACCATTTTGCTAACCTAAATCTAACAATGAAGAAGAGTGAGGGCCCGTCAAGAATCGCGCTATCAAAAACTATTAAGTTCCTAACTTTCCAAATTGACCAAAAAACAACACCCAGAATAAATTTCCAAATCGTCGAATTCACCTTCAATTTAGACAAAGAGCTAAGAAGAGTAGGAGGATCCCGGGGCAAAGCTAAAGAAAGATCCCAAAAGCTGATTATCCCATTTTTTGGATTGGTGAATTTGGTTCCCAATTATCATCCAATTGGGCCTGAGGTTCCGGGTCCACTCCTTTCCTCAACCCAAGACCCGCGTAATCCCCTGTGGGATTTATCTCATTTTCAAGGAAATCTGACAGCCCATAATTAGAAGGTTCCGTGGTTGACTTCCTCAACAGTAAATGTCCCCCACTAACCCCTTTCAAACCACTCTTTTGTCCTTGATTCAGCCTCGTGACCACCTTAAGCCTAGACTCCTCTGATAACTTCTGCTGGAAGATAAAAGATGAGGAAGTATTGGATGGTCTCTGTTATGAAGCTTCATATAGATCTTTTATCTCCTTTATGTAATTCTGGACCAATTCAGTGCCTATTTCTTTAACCTTATCTTTGATAACTTTAAGTTTGAAAACTGAATGGTTGAAGATAATATAATTCACTTCGTTGCTCTCTTGTAATAAACTAGGGATATCAGTAGTTGCATCATGGATGGTATAAAAATTCTCTCTATTGGTAGAAACCTAACTTCTGGAATTTTTTTAGGTTGATAATTTAATACCACAGCATTATTTGCCACCGATCATTAGGCTTTGTGGCAAGCTTGAGATGTTAGATCGAATACTCCCCAAGTTGAAGGCAACTGATCATCGGGTAAGCAAATCTTCTTATGCTGTTATGCTGTTATGCCGAGATCTATAATTTATAGAAGCTATCTTTTGTTGCATTCTCTAATATGGTAGTCTGTTTGCATGAAAAATCCTGATGCTGAATTGGCCTTTTTCCCTTCATATTATATGTTGATTAATGTTGTTCTAATATGGTGGCAATCTTGTGATGTTTTTTTGTTGTGCTTTCAGTTCCTGTTTGTTTTTTCTTAGTTCAAGATCATGGTGCCACTTGTAGAATTTGGCATTTCTATATGAAGCCCCCTTTGTTCTTATCAAAAAAAAAATCTTGGTGAAATGTATAAGAAGCTTTAGGATGACTCTTTGATTTTCCATGAAAGAAACTCCTCCTTTAGTGTATGTTTGTAAACAGATTAGTTTTACTAACATTATAATTCATTGGAATTCACTCCTTTAATTTGAAATTTGTAGGTTCTTTTCTTTTCCACAATGACTAGGCTACTAGATGTCATGGAAGATTATCTCACCTTTAAACAGTACCGCTACCTAAGGTTGGATGGGCATACATCTGGCAATGATCGTGGTGCACTTATTGAAAAGTTTAATCAACAAGGTTCTGACTTTTTCATATTTTTGCTCAGGTAATTCCGTCTCTAAAGACCTGGCCTACAAAAAGAATCTATAAATTGGAAAAAGGAAAGAAAAAAGAGAGTAAGGAGGGATCATTTTAGTTATGTGCTGGGGGTAATATATGGCTGGGTTTAATGAGGCCTTCCTTTTTATCAAAAAAAAAAAAAGACTGTAAAGGGATTCATGGCTATAAGTTTTTGATGGCTAATATGTATTAGGCATCTTTTTGAACTTAGAAGGCGACTGTTCAACATTCTTTTTAGGAGTTATGCCTGCCAACCCCTATGTTAGAGATTTTACTATGAGCAAAGATTATTTTAATTTTTGGGGCTGAAAATAACTAAATCTACTGGGAGAGGGTTGTATGATACTGGGACTCACTTACCTACAATATTTATGTTTGTTTGGTTATGTGTTGATTTTCTACCGAGTATGATCTTGTAATTCTGACATTTGATTGTTTTGGCAGTATTCGGGCTGGTGGTGTTGGTGTAAATCTTCAAGCTGCTGATACTGTGATAATATTCGACACTGACTGGAATCCTCAGGTTGTATTGAAAGTTAAATTTACGTGATTAAATTTTTTCTTATATTGGTTTTAATTCTTTTTTTATTTAAATTTTGGTTGGTTCAGGTTGACCTGCAAGCACAAGCAAGAGCTCATAGGATTGGCCAGAAGAAGGATGTACTTGTTTTACGATTTGAAACAGTATGTTCCTCTTACCCTAATCAATGTTTGGGGTCAAGTACCTTCTTATTTTCTATAATTATTATACGAGAGTGATTCCATTCTTGCTTTGAAGTGGATCAACAACCCGGATCTTTGCCCGGTTCGCTATGTTGATTTGGTCAGAGTTATTCACAAGACTGCTGCATTTTAATGTTATAACTAGGCATGTTAACAGATGTATTAATGGGGAAGCTGTTTGTTTAGCTAAATCAGGAATAGGATAGTGTGAGGACAGGTTTTTGTATCGGTGAGTAAGGGGGTGGTGGGTTGTTGTAATGGGTGTCTTTGTATTGTTTATGTTTGGTTTTGGTTGTATTTCTAATGTTTGGCAATAAAATTCTGGGCACTCTTTTACCCCTTCCAATGACTATGGAGTTCTACAAAACTTAATAGTTATGAAGGGGTTTTTAATGAGGCCTTATTCCTATAAAAAAAATAATAATTATTATACGAGTTTTTCATGCCGCTTAGTTTTTAGTTTATTTTATATTTTTCCTAACATAATCTGATATGACGACTTCATTTGTCTTTGACTATTTCATTGGGGTGGTGCTGATTTTTTAATCAAGTCCAATTATTTTACTTTGATAAGGTTCAAACAGTCGAAGAACAAGTTAGAGCTGCCGCTGAACACAAATTGGGAGTTGCTAATCAGAGTATCACTGCTGGCTTCTTTGACAATAATACAAGGTAACTCGGGGTTGTTTGTTGAACTATAGTGTACTGCATAGAGCACAAGTAGATTCAAGATGGTTATGGCTAATGCTCTTAAGGAAATTTCCGTGATTTTATTGACAGTGCTGAAGACCGTAGGGAGTACTTAGAGTCCCTCTTGCGGGAGTGTAAGAAAGAGGAAACTGCCCTAGTCTTGGATGATGATTCTCTAAATGATCTGTTGGCCCGCAGGTATTATTCATATTTTATTTATTTTACTTTCCCTGCCCTAGGCTATATCTAGAAATCACGGAGTTTTTTTTTCTTTCTATATTTTTACTTTTTGTACTGATCCAATTTTATTGATGTGCCGTGATTCAACATGAAAATTACTTTGTATTAATATTTATGAGCCTTTAGTTACTGGCATGATTTGTTATTGATATCATCTCTGTGATACAGTGAGTCTGAGATTGATGTATTTGAATCAATTGATAAACTGAGGCAGGAAGAAGAGACGGTATGCATCCAAATCTCTTAGACAGGCTTTTTTGTCTCATGTGCAACATAAACATGCTCATCTTGGTGATTTATTTCTGTTGTGATGCCATTTTTCTATATATACGAATCCAAATCTCTTAGACAGGCTTTTTTGTCTCATGTGCAACATAAACATGCTCATCTTGGTGATTTATTTCTGTTGTGATGCCATTTTTCTATATATACGAACATGCAGGCAAGGTGGAAAAAGTTGGTATTTGGATCAGGGATGGTTGGTTCCAAGCCTTTACCCCCTTTACCATCTCGTCTTGTTACAGATGATGACTTGAAAGCATTTTATGAAGCAATGAAATTGTATGACGTACCCAAGACTCGGGTACAACCTAACATTGGGGTAAAACGGAAGGGTGGATCACTTGGTGCTCTTGACACCCAGCACTATGGGAGGGGAAAACGAGCAAGAGAGGTTTGTTATCGTTACCTCTTTTTTACTCTTCTTTTATACCTTTACTTGGTGTTGCAGCTGCCTGCCTTTGTTCCAGTACGAATTTTAATGTGTTAATCTTGTACCTTTTCTATAATAGGTGCGTTCATATGAAGAGCAATGGACAGAAGAGGAGTTTGAAAAAATGTGTCAAGCTGACTCACCTGGATCTGCTGAATTGAAGGAAGAAGCTGTTGAGAGGGAACTGCCAAAAAATGCTCTGATGGGTATTGTTAATAGCACAGAACCTCATGCCCCATCCCCAGCCACCGCCCCAGCTCCAGCTCCAGCTCCGCTTCCTCCACTACCGCAACCAGTTTTGGTGGAGCTTGCACATCAGCCACAACAGCAGCAGAACAAAGATGCAACACCACCATCTAAACGGGGCCGTGGAAGGCCACGAAGAGCACCTGCAGAGAAATCTCCCACTGCACCAGTGTTTCCAGCACCTTATGGAACCAGTAAATTGGATGTCGGGTTACAGAAAGCAACAGATACTAGCTCATCAGCATTTCCTGCTCCTGCTCCTGATCCTGGCAATAGTACAGGAGTTTCTCAGATCTTTCCACCAAGTACGCCCTCTTTTTCTTCTATTCCTGACGAATCTATCCCACCTGGATTCTCTCCACCGGTAGAATCAAAAGGACAAGGTCGAAGGGCTCAAAGTGGAGGACAGGTGCCTCGTCGAAGGGGAAAGAAAAAAGAGCCAGCATTTAACCCGGCTGTTGATGGTTCAGCTGGTCCTGCTCCAGAAACAAATGAGCAATCTCAGATTATATCAGTTAACCCACCAGATAGTCTAGCTGTTGCTATAAGTGGAACTGTTCCTGGTGTTTCAAGTGCTCCCGCTGCTGTGGGGACCAATCCTATACCTACTTCTGCTGGTCCTCATTGTACTGCTGGAACTGATCATCCATCTGATTCAGGGTCTGGTTTGAACTCTCAGACACTTCATACTTACCCGGCCACTCCAATTGCTCAATCAGCTCTTCCTTGTACTACTGTACCTGTCCAAGTTAATGGCCAAGGTCGCAAGGTTGAGAGTGGGGTAGGAACACCGCGGCGTAGGGGAAAGAAACAGGCACAAATATCAGCTGCTCCTCTGAATGCTTCAGTTGATCAGGATTCAAAATTGAATCCGCAAGCACATGCTAAATCTACAGAGGCATCACCAAGTAAATTCATTGGGACTGGAGGCAATCTGGAAAATGATGCTTGTGATCCAGAAAAGGTTATTCAAGAGGAAGGACAGGGGACTGATGCACCTGCTATCATAACTGCTCAGGAAAAACATGATACTATACATCATAATTTACCTCAAACTAAGCAACCAGAAAGCTCACAGGATGTGCACAATAGTACCACCATAATCCTTGGTATGACCGTTGCATCTTTTAGTATGGATGAAATCAATGTGTCCTTTAACTATTAGTTCATTGGATTTTATACAGTTAACTTATATGAGCAACTTTTGCAGGGCCTGCTGTGGGAAAAATTCATCAAATTGATGTGAAGGAGAAGGCTTCTTTGATTTCAGTGGTTTCATCTGAATGCAGCTCTCAGAAAGCTAAGTCTAGCGAGGTATGTGGTAACCAAGGTGGTGCTGTGGCTGTTGTTACTGGGACCTCAGTTGAAGTGGTAAAGAACCAAATTTCAGAAGCAAAAGTGCATCCAACCATTTCAATTGGGAAAAATGCACCTTCTGTTTCTATTACAACAACCAATTCTTTGCCTGCATCGATTCCTTTAGCAGGTGCCAATAAAACCATCCCTAGTTCTGGTGAAAGAATTTCTCCCAGCTCTGAGCCTTATCCAACTTCTGTTTCTGCTGTTTCTGAAACTCAAACTGTCCCTGCTTTTCCTGTTGAATCTGTTCAAAGTAGAAGGCCAGGTCGTAAGACCACAAACAGGGAAGAAGCACCTAGGCCTAGAGGAAGGAAACCTGCAACTCCTGATGCTTCATCTGGCCAGGACCTGAAAGTAAATTCTCAGCCCCAGAGTACATCAAAGGATTTAATGGTTAATAAAGCTACTGCAGGGAAGAGCAATCTAGATTCTGGCCCTCTTGAGCTGGTCAATGTCACCCAGGTACGTGCATCTGAAATTCATTCTCCAAGTGCTTCAGTTGATCATGATTCAAAGAGAAAAGCAACTGTTGCAGTCCCAGCATTTAGTCGAATTGCGACTGCTGATGTGAATGATGTTGCCCGAGTGATGAAGGAGATTTTCTCTGAAACCTGCACATCAAAGAATAAAGTTGGCGAACCTGCTGGGAGTGAGGGAAAAAGTACAACCACTGCACCATTATCAAGCAAGACATTTGAGGAGCTAGTTAAGAACCAAAGTTTAGATGGTGTTTCTTCTGTCAGCACACCAAATCTTGTAAAAACTTCTCCAGCTAGTGATGTTCGAAAAGTAAAAGGTAAACAGCAGACCGAAAATGAATCTGATACAAAAGAACTGGAGGACAATGCATCACTTGCGATTAAGGTCCCTGTTCTTGAGAGAGTTGATTCATTGAAGCCTGAATGCAAGACCCATAGTGGCTCAGACAACAATGCAAATCCAACACTGATTCCAAATGAAAGTTCAATTACAGATGCGGTGATTGATGGTATGCCTCCTCTCAATGCTGGTGACATGAAAGATGTGGCTCAAGGAACTCCTACTGGTGGTGATCAAACTGTTTCTAGAATTCAACTGAGCTCACCTAGTCCAATGGACCTGCTTCAAGCTGCTGAGAGTGATAAAACCAATAGAGAGCCTTGTTTTAAAGAATCTCCCAAAGCTGACAGTGATGATTCCATAATGGATCCTTCTCTTTCAGGTGTTGTGGTACCTGCTATTAATGTTTCTGAAGCCAAAGAAGAAAGTCCCGGTATGACTGAATCTATTGTTGTTGAAGGTCCAGAAACTTTAGAAAACTCAATCAATCATGGAGCTAGTTCTGCGGTTGAAGATACAGCTCCATCCCATGAGGCTGCTAATTCGGATGATTCTCCTGTTCACAACCAAGATTTGGAGGGTCATCCTGGTGGCAATGAAGCCAAGGGGGATACTATACCTGAACCGGCGACTGAATCTACTGATACAGAGCTTGTTCCACGAAATGTTGGAGCCTTGCAACAATCTCTGGTGGTTAGAGATAAGGAGGGTGATGGTGTTGAGATTCACAATATGGAAGTAGATCCTTGTGAGAGAGAATTTTCTTCTTTGAAAGACTTCACTGCTGAATCAGCCAGCAGGGATCCTGCTCCAGAGGAGAATGGTGGGATGAAACTGCCTGTCAGAGTTGAAACTATGAAGGGTGATAGTGTTGAAGTTTGCGATCCAGAAGTTAAACCCTTAGAAACACAATTATCTGAGACGGATGTTCTACCTTTGGAAATAGCAGTTCCCGTTTCTGATATTTTAGGGGACAAGAATGTTGAACAGTTCAGGACAGATGCTGATGTAAAAGAGTCCGAGGAGAAACCTCCTATTTTGGTTATGACCTCTACAATAGAAAGTGTTTGTCCAGTAACTCAGTGCCGGGATGCTACTGGGCCTGAGAACATTTCAGGTTCAAAACAGCTTTCATCTGAAATCTCAAAAACTGGGAGTGCCATGGAGGTTGATTGTAAAGATCATCACAGTGCTAACGAGAAAGAAGATTTTGATACCAAGGGAGCAAAAAGTCCTAATGGAGAGAACGCTGATCTTGCTGTTGTGTCCTCTAGCAATCAAATAGCATTATTTGTGGGATCTCCTAGTAAGTTAGATCATCAGTTCAATCAAAATGAAACCACAACACAGAGCTCTTCAGAAAACTCTCCAGATTTGACTCATTGTGACAGTAAAGATTGTGAATCTACCATCGACTCTACAAAAGCCAGTGATGCTTGTAATATTTCTATTTTGGCCCCACCTACTTCTGTTATGATGGAGCCTAAAGTGGCCAGCTCTGAAGGCAAAGAAAAGGCTTCCTTGGACTCTTCAAATTCAGTTGCGCTTGATATTAGTTCTTCAGGTGATGGTGTTGCTTGTGATTATTCTGGTGTGACTGCAGTAGTTCCCTTGAGTTCAGACCATTCAGTTCCTGGATGTCTTCCTGATCCGATCACAATTCAATCTGAAGATAAAGCAGAACCTTCTACTAGAGAGTTGTTGGAATCTTCTTTCAACATTGGAAGTGTTATCCACCCGGAAGAGTCTTTACCTGTTACTGCGTGTCCAGACAAGTCAGGTACAGTGTACATAGCTGCTATGGTTGAGAACAATTCTGAATGCAAATTAGAGCATTCTCCGGATAAGTCAGGCACATTGGAGGCACTTGCTGTGGTTGAGAATAATTCTGAACTTGAAGCGGAGCCTTCTTTGAAATCACATCCACAAGCCTCTGTCCCTGATGTTGTAAACCTTCAAAGTTCTGCAATGTCCACAAAACCTGATGTTGATGATACTCTTGTGACTTCAAATATTTCACCAGGTCCCATTTGTTCAGGGATGGTGGACCTTCCTGCTATTACTGAGAATGAAACGGTAAAGGAAACAGAGCCATCTAATGGGATTGAAACCATGAGGAACTCAGAATCAGAATCCGTCTATTTCGCTTCTGATTCTTCTAATGTAGAACTTATGCCAAAAGATGATGAGTTGCAACAGCCATCAGCTGTAATGGTAGATAATTCTGTTGATGTTGGCAGTGAGGAAGTAGACCCCACTGCACAACCAGCATCTTCTCTGAAGGATTTTGCACCTGGGAACCATGGTGAGGTGAAGCCCTCAGAAACACATGCAACTTCATCGGAGGTTACTGCCAAGGACTCCCCCAAGGGAGAACGTGATCTAAATGGTCAGTCTCATGAGCTCCTAGTACCAGAAAAGACACATGCTGACCAGGTTGAGGCTTCTACTATTGAACCGAACTCCGTTGCTCGGGCATCTTCACCAAAATCTGGAATTTCTGATAATAAAGAGCCTGTTCAGAGGTCTGGGGCTGATCATGTTGAAGCCTGCAGTGGGAAATTAGACACTACAGAAGGACCATCCTCGGCACAAACCATCTCTGATGAATCTACCCATCCTGATAATAAACCAGAGCTTACACTGGCATATGAAGCTGATGTTATTGAGGCCTGCTCCAAAGGACCATCCTCGTTACAAGTCATTTCTAAAGAATCCACCAATCCTGAGCTTAAACAAAATGAAGTCAGAACTGAGTTCCAATCTGAAGTTCATGCCGAAGCTTCTCAGCAATCTAAGGTCGAAACTGCTGACATCTCTGATATGGAAATAGACCCAAAAGAAGAAGAAAAAAGACCATTCATCCGAATTGGAGGATGATGCTAAAGCTTATGAGCAGCCTATAATTGTCGGTGATATGGGAATAGATACCGGAGAAACAAAGATTCCATCACCGAGCACGGATGAAACAAATGCATAGATTAACAAAAGATGAAGTGTTTACCAAAACATGAATCATTATTTTAGAAGTTGTAGATGTTTTATCTTAATATTCTTATCTTTAGATGTAAATACGTCTACTTTTGAGCTTTAGAAAACAGTTTATTCAATCGTCTTCCCCACTGGTCGAATGAATTTAATAGAAAAGGCTGAAGAGTATTATCAAGCAACTATTTGCTGATATAATTCCTTGTTTATCATTCCTTTTTTAGGCCTGCATTGTTAGGTTAGCAGGAAAGGGATGTCCGTAGTCGAGGATTTGGGTTGATCATGATAACTAGACATGCTGACTCGAAAACTGAATCTAAGCGAATATGATTTGATCAAATTAATACTTCGAATTTGCATTCAAATCAAAATTTCAAATAGTTTGAACTTAAAATCTCAAACTTGATATTGATTCGAGTTATTAAGAAGGAAATTTAAAGATTTTTCAATAATTAAAGATTGTTTTATTTTTTAAATTACAAATATAATAAGGGGGTTGAACGTTGATAATAACTTTTTATTTATAGTTTATTCCCAAAAGGACCTAGGAAAAGAGAAAAGGGAGGAATTATATGTTCCAAAAATTGTCATAAGTTTGTCTAGAGACGTCAAAATGGTAGTCTTATTTGGGAGATGGTAGTTAATACAGAAGGGGCATTCCAGGAGTTGAACTCGGGACCTCTATCACCCTAAGCAAAAATTATACCACTAGACTAAATGCCCTATCTGGTAGTTTATAATCTAAAATAATCTAAGATAATAACATATTAGATAAACCATAACTCCATAACTAGGCATAACATGATAAGATACGACAGTCAAGAATATTCTCTCTTCCGCAGTCAATCCTAAATTCTTCAGCTGTCAAATCTCCATCAACTTATGTTTCCCCCAATTCACTTTTCCCTCCAAAAATTATCCCTCTTTCGCTCCCTTTTTGAAACCCTAATCCCCCCTTTACCTCTCTCTGTCTCTATGCTTCCTCACTAACTTCTCCTTGGTAACTTTTTATTTTCTTTCCACCGATACTCTTTTTCGCCTTTGCACCTAGCAGTTACACACCAATATCTAGTCCCCCCCCACCCGTTTCTCTTTATATGTAAAAATCTCTGCTTTTCAGGGTTTTAGTGTAGATTTGTAGTCGCGGATGAGTTGGTAGTCACAAAGAAAAAGATGGGCTCTCTTGGAAACGACGCTGGCGACATTAAATCCTCTCGAGTGAACCCAAGCACCGATTTTTCGCATCCCGAGACTCAGCCCTTCGAATTTGATTCCCAAGACTCAATTTTGGGCATGTTTCCTTCTATCTTTGATGTTTATTTTTGAAGCGTCTCATGAAAATGTCAACTTTTTTCTTTTAACTTTTTCTAATTTAGTGTCGGATGTTTATGCTTTAAGTTATTTGAATACATGCGAAATACTGATTGTTTGTGTTAAATGTGTTTTTGAAAAATAAATTAGGCGACAAAGCTGATATCAAGTATTATAAAGAATTAAACCATGTTCAAAATACAGTTCCTTTCGGTGATATTGTTCCGATGGAAGATGGACTCGACACTCAGATTTTCAACCTTGGTGGAGAAACTCAAGAGTTGAACTTAGATAGTGAAACACAGGTGTTGGATGAGTTAGATTGCTTTGAGAATATGGAGACACAATTGCTGGATGAATTTGATGATGAAATTGTTGCCGATAGTGACGGTGAAGGAACAGAAGGCACCGAGATATTAGATCACGGTGATGAGGTCTTGAATGATAACATAGTAACCGGTGACTGTGGTAGATCCTTGGGTCAGGTGGAGAAGAAGCCATCTTTGGAGCAATATAACACTTGTAAGGGTGAACAACTGAATTCAGGTATAATTTTCCTTATGAACATTTTAGAAAATATTGAAGTCTTTGCTAGAAATTTATATGTTTTGTTACCTGGGAAATTATCATTATTGTCTAAATTGAAGTTTACATGCAGTGTGTATGTCAAGAATCAGTGGTGCTACAGAGACACCCGATGTCAAAGCCGAGTCAGAATCAAAATCAGGTATGCATTCAATAGCTTTTCCATGATTAAAAATGCATGAGTATAGTCAAGTTTTGGTCCTCTACGAATTTCTCAATACATGATTGGCTTTATTTGAAACAACTAGTTATTGTCCAACTCGAAGTGGTGTTGCTTATTACCGACAATTGAACAAAGATGTCTGGCTAAATTTTGAAGCACTTTTTGTTTATCCTTGTGTTCATGCGGCATATGTTTTCATAAAATTTATGTGCTAGATTAAGCTTCCTTCATGAACCTGTGAACATTTGTTTCCGGAAAATGAGTGGAGTAAATTGAGGCAATTAATGAGATAGATACTGTATCTCGTTAACGTTTGGACATTGTTCCTGCTTTAGTCTTGGATGATTGCACTGATGAGCTACTAGTTTTTATTTGTAACAGCTTCTTTCAAAAGCATTTTTTTAAAGCAATTTACTTGTGGAAGTAATTGGAGTTTGGAAGCATAGTCCTCTTCTAACATTAAAAGATGGTGGGAAATAATGTATGTTCAATTTGGCACTGTCTTTCCATTTGTGTACTAACATTCATTATTTTCTATAGGATCTATACGAAGGTTTACTTCAGTTCGTGCAGCATCCTTGCGTGCATCTGGTCTTACAGCTCGAAATGCAGCACTATGGGGAATGAATGCCGAGACTTGTTTTATCCGTACTGATAGTCAGTTTTCAGACCAGTGTACGGTCGATATTAATGGTTTAACCTCTAATGTTGTGGAGAAGATAAATCAGGAACATCATCAAGGTAATAATGATGATGAGACCTCAATCGGTTTAAGGCATGGAACCAATTCCAGGGTCGGTTGTTCAACTGTGAGAAAACTTTTTGCCGCAAGTCCTTGCAGCAGTGAATATGCAGATGCAAGAGAAGATGTGCCTCAGTTTCCTGCACATGACGGTTCTTTGGAAGGCTTAAGCTATATTGACTCCCAAGAACCTGGGGAGTTATCACAGGCTAATGCACTGAATTTTGTGGAAAAGCTTGTAAATGATAATATGGTGGAGCTTGATGTTGAAGTTGATCTCGGGAAGAGTACTGGGGGGAAATCAAAACTTATTTCATCTGCAATAACAGGGCTACAAAATTTGGCCAAGAAAACAATTGAAAGAAGCACTTCTGGAAAAGCATGGATTTTTGATTGGGATGATGCTTTGGAGGATGAAGGAGGGGGTGATATTTATTGTAAAAGAAAGGAAGAATTCTTTGGTATTGCAAGCTGTGCACTGAAGACTTCTAAACATCACTGTAATCGCAAAGGAAGGAAGCTTTACGAATCTTGTAACGAAGACCGACTAAATGGCCATGATAAAGGGATAATTGATTCTGATTCAAAATCATTGTTGTGCAAGTCAAAAGGCAGTGACAAGCCAGTACGAGAAGGTCAAATGGATTTAAGAAAGAACCTTTTGAATGAGTTTGGTGAACATTGTAACTCAGATTCCTCAAAGGGACAATTGGAAACTACTGCTGCTGCTGAACTTAATGTAGGTTTTGACACTCAGATGGCTGCTGAAGCTATGGAAGCCTTATTCTATGGGGAGGCGGCTACTGAGCAGAATGGTAATCAAGATTTCCAAAATACATCAAAGGGTTCCTCAAAAGGTTTGTTTAGTGGAAAATCCAGGAATAGAATTGCTTCTATAGAACCCATGGTGAAAAAGGGTGTTTCTTGTTATGATGCCGCTCCAGTTACAAGGCAGTCCAAGAGAACTCAAGAGTCTTCAATTTTGAAGAATAAATGTTCTGAAAATGTTAGGAAGGAGTGTGATACAGAGTTGCTTCTACCGAAAACAAAGAAACCTAAACCAAATACTGATGAGAACCAAGTTTCTGGGTGGTATCGATACGGCCAAGAAGCCCTCTAAGAGTATTAAGCAAAGAAAGGCAGTTGGAGCTTTGGCAAAGAGTCAACTTCATAGCACCAGAGGACCAACTAGGGGCAGCTCAATTAAGAAACGTCATCCTAACAAGGTTCATACTGTTACACCCATTGCTCATCGAACAAGGCAGTCCTTGGTCATGAATACACAAATGGCTGAGGCTCCAGCTAGTGATTGTAGAAAAGGTAAAAAACTTGAAAAAGAGGTTGTTTTCCTTCAAGAAAATAGAACCAGGAGTACAGATGTTACAGCTGTTGAGTTATCCTTAGTGTCAAATGCTAAAGGGAAACTTTCTAGTTTGTGTTCCTACCAATCTGGGAAACATGTAAATGCCAAATCCTGTAATAATGACCAATTGCATTTGGAGTTGACTGCCAGGAATAACAGCAATCAGGGATTGAACTATCCCAAACATAGAAGATCCTACCGCAAAATGTCTGTTCATGTTGGTGAATCTGATAACTTGGAAGCAAAGTCCAAAAAATATGTTCAGCCAGATGATAATGGACAACAGATTCCTGTGGTAAAAAGGTCCAGAAGAAACAGTAGGAACACTTGCATTCCTTCAACGACTGCGAGGATAACACGATCATCCAGGAATACATGTACTGTTCCATATTTGTCAGACCAGAATTTAGAAGGAAATTTGTCACATCAAAGTTCAGATAAACAAGGTTCAAGGGATGATGCAGTTAATTGCAATTCCATTGAGATGAATAGGAGGATGAAATCTACCAGAATAATTGGACTTGAAGCCGCAAAGGAAATACAGCACTCAAGTGGCAACTGTGCTGCAGTTTCTTCACCAATTGCAGAAAGTTTAGCTGCAAATGTTGCTTCCGATAAGTCCCGGGAAGAGAAATCAAGTTCACTTGGTCCTGTATGCACCACACCAGTTAACTGCCTGACACCCGTCAATGCTGCATCACCTGTTTGTATGGGTGAAGAATATTTTAAACAATTCTGCAAGAAGAACCTTTCAAACGCTTCACTCGTCAAAGAACTCCGAAGTTTAAACCCCATTGAGCCAGAACTCATTTCTCCTTTGAAAGACATGAGGAAGAGAAGGGATTTGGCCAATGTTAGAGTCTTGTTCAGCAACCACCTAGATGAAGATATAATTAAACAGCAGAAAAAGGTACTTGTAGTTTCTCATATCATTCTCTCTTTAATGATATAAAAGCCCTTCTAACTAAACATTATGCCTCAATCTTGTCACCAGATCTTGACCCGCCTAGGCATCTTTGAGGCACCATCGATTTTAACTGCTACACACTTTATAACTGATAAATTCGTGCGCACTAGGAATATGTTGGAAGCAATTGCTTCTGGGAAACCAGTTGTCACACATTTATGGCTTGAAAGCATTGGACAAGTTAATATCCATATTGATGAAGAAGCTTATGTATTGAGGGACATTAAAAAGGAGAAAGAGTTTGGCTTCTGCATGCAGCTTCTTTAGCACGTGCACGCAAGCGACCCTTATTACAGGTAAAAAGATTTTATACTTACCTGTTGCATTGGTCACATATTCCATCAAGATCTTTACTATAGTTAAAGTTATGCAGGGTCGAAGAGTTCTAATTACCCCAAATACAAAACCGAGTAAGGAAACAATTGTGCATTTGGTTACAGCGGTTCATGGTCAGGTATGTGGTAGTTTTCAAGGCAAATCCATCTAGTGGCATACGAAAAAGATTGATTAATTTTAACCTTTGTGCTTTTACTTAATAATTTTAGATGCTTCCGTTCCTATTACAATGCTGACTTCTTTCTATCTTGATTCCAAATGACATGTTTTCCAGGCCATAGAGAGAATTGGTAGGTCTGCTATGAAGGATGACAAAGTCCCAGATGATTTGTTAGTTCTATCATGTGAAGAAGATTACGCAATCTGCGTGCCTTTTCTTGAAAAAGGTTAAAACTTGCTCTTAGTAGGCTCCTACATGTTTTGCGAAACATAGTTTTTGTTACAACTTTTTGGCATCTTTATGCTTTCAGGGGCAGCAGTTTACAGTTCCGAGTTAATACTGAATGGAATAGTTATTCAGAAACTGGATTATGAGAGGTTGGTACTAATATATAATCATGCTCCTTTTGCTTCATCATGCAACCTCAAATTGTTATCCAAGGCCTTCTTGACTAGGATCCCCCGTGTTATTTACTTTCATGTCTCAGAATTGTGTCAATGATTCATGGAATGATTCTGCTACGGGTTTTTCTATTTTATCTTTCCATTGTTCTGAATTGGCTGAGCTGATGAATGGTTTTCGTTTATTGCTTTCCTAACACAGTTGTATGTCTACTGGCAGGCATCGTCTCTTTGCAGATCATGTTAGAAGAACACGCTCCACCATATGGCTAAGGAAGGATGATAAATTCCTCCCTGTAACGAATCATAAATGATGGTTTCCTTTTAAAATTTTCTGGGGTACCGATCTTCTTTGTTAGATATAGGATTTAGAACCCCAAGTGATCTGTATTTATCATAGGATTAGTTTAGCTGTATACTGTATTGAGTCTAGTGTATGCTTTCTATATATTGTCCATAAATTTCACATCATGTATGTTTCTAAGGGTATTAGAATTATTATGCTCAACTTTTTCTTCATAAATCCCATTCTAAATTTCTGCTTCAAATGTATAAACACCAAGGCCTTGGTGAATATGCGTAAAAACGCAGGAATGACTCATTTTTACGAGGTCAAATCATGCTGGGCTAGAACTTTCCGCAATCTGAACCTGCAAATTGTAACTGTAGATATACAGTGCATTGATCGTCATAGCTATCCCGAAAGCATTATTACAACAGCAGGCTTGAGATGGAGCTGCAAAGACATTCAAAGGCCTCAATCACAACTAATCGGTAAAAAGAATGAGAAACGAAACTATTCGAAGCCGTCACCATGGAATATAATACATAGACAAATAATGCGACGAGCGCGAACTCAAAACCTGCGTATGTCCAAGTACACTCCTTGACTGCTACAAGCCAAAAGAGCAGTCGTTAAATATGGTCACAATTCCGACGAAACACAATTTTTGAGGCTCGGACATACCAAGAGTGACTGCCAAGATAGATGATAAGAGGCCAAGGGTAAACGCAAAGGGTGCCGCGATCACGATTGCTTGAGACTTCAAGATATGAATCTACAAAAATGGCAAGGCATAAGATCGACATTGTCAACCTGCTGTTTTATCTAGACCATCTCAATCTGTAACAAATATTGTTAACGGATGTTGGCACATAAAATTTTCCACTCTTCATGCTTTGTTTACAAACTAAGTTGAGCGGTTAAGGGAACTTAATAGGCTCATAATATTGTTATGTTGGCACATAACATTTTCTTATGACATGATATATTTTGCCATGTAAGGTGAGCGTCAAACGGTGAGGGCATGCCCGAAAAAGGTGAAGGTGAAGGTTTGAGGTGAGAATGATGAGAGTGGAGATGAAGGTTTGTGGTTTATAGATCGGAGATTATGATTTATAGATTAGGGATTTGAATTAATGTATAAAGATTTTATTTTTGTTTTTGTTTTAAATTGTACATAAAAAAATATTGATAAAAAATGTCATATCATAAGAATATATTAATAAAAAATATATGTCATCCTAAAATGACTAAAATAATAGTAATTCAAAAAGTGAGTGATTAAATTAAAAAAATGTGAACTTCAATATTTAAAATAGGAGTTAAAAATAATGAACAATATAATTAAAAAAACAAAAGCTAAATTAGTGATTATCTTTCTATGAAAAGACAATGAGTGCTCATCACATCAAAAACAAAAACATCGTTCAAGTCTGGAAACATGATGTGTGTCGATTGAACTAATTATACCTTTTTCACCGAAATAATATTCCAATTCCGTATTTCTCTCACCTCTTCCGTCAGCAAAAGCAAAGGCTGACCTGACCAGCTTGGAGTTTCAAAATCCCCCCACTAAGTTACCCCTCCCAATGACCTAAAATCTCAAGCGGTTTCGGGATTTTCAGACAGTGGTTAAAAGCTCCTTGTCGGTTTATTGATGAGAAGTTAAAATATCAATGTATATGCACAGTTACTATTCAACTATATAACTTAACGGTTGGTAACCCTTGCCTTAAACAGAACGCTAAATTAGGAGAGATGGTGATGGAAATTAAGCCTGTTTGTCATCCTCTCTCATACTCGCATCATATCAAGCTCTTCCTGCTATGCCTTTGAAACTATACTTTCTTCTAGATTAAAAGGTTAGGCAATTAGGATTAGGAGTGAGCGTAAGATATGGATATTATAAGTCCAAAAAGGATGTTAAAGATGGATTCTTCAAAGGAACGATCATGAGTATATCCAGGGACGGTGTTAAGGGTTGGTAGGACCTTGACCCCTAAACGATCATACATATATTTTAACTTAGGACGAAGCTAAAATTATATTTGGCACCTAAAAGATGATAAATTATATTTGGTATCTCATGGAGATCATCATCTTTAGAAACTGTTAACTCTCTGTCAATTGAGATCTTTGGATACACTTCTCTGCTCAATGAAATTTTCGAGAAACTCATATTCTCCGATCACGAGAATATCATATCTTTCGAATCTTTTACGATAGAGAAGACTTCTGACATACCCACATAATTTATCAAAATAAAATTTAAAATTTCACGACCAAATCCATTTAGCTTGATAACCAACTAATAGTCATAATGACGACCTTATGCCTCACACCATTAACTAGAGTCACTATATATATTCCTCGACTTAATTAAGAGAGGGACCTCCTTAATTTAAAAATAAACCCCCACTTTCTCATGACCAACTCTTTCTTATAAAGAAACACCGGTCAATAGTCATTCTCTCATCAGTCACGATTCTCCACCCAAACAAAAAGGGGTGAATCACCAACGATCGATAAAATAAACTTGTTTACATCAACAATTGATGCAGTGAATATAAAACACCTCATCAAAAAAAAAAAAAAAGAATAAGTCACAGTGAATTCTCTAAATCAACCATTCCTTGAACCTTTTTACTCCGAAGAGCTGCATAGAAACGCTAGTGACCAATCACATACTATGAATCTTTTCAGCTTTTTATGGTGCTTTTGATCACCATTGTAAACATTTTCCTCAACCACAATACTAGAAAAACCCTGATTCTGACAAGCAAAGCTCACGTACACAACACAACCTCTAATCACAAGCATTGAGAAGCCTAACCGATAAACTGTTCCTATTTTCAATACTCGAACGAATAAGTCATCCCTTTTAAGGCAACCTGAGAAGCGCGGAGGAAATGTCTTGGTAATGGAAGCGTGACATGCAAAGGGGAGGAGAGTCTTGGCTCAACAATATTCATTCCATATGAGCTCAACGATCATACCTTTCCTCTTCGCACGAATAACAGTAAACATACACAACCTCCAATCAAGGTAATTTTAGTCCTTATAAACATGACGTCAAGGCGAGGAAAATAAGCATGTTCGAGGAGGTAATGATCAGTGCAAAGTTCATGGTTGTTGCACAGGAGCATGTCTCCCAAAAATTTCTTGAACTACTCCCAGCTCAGGTATTAAGAAAACCCTTCCTAGATTTCTATGCGAGGTCAGTAACTTATACTAACAGGAATTTCCCTCACGAAAAACTACCAAAACGTTCCTAGCTCAGGTGCTTCAAATAACCTCATATTAGGAATAACATGTAATATTTGAACAACTAATACATGTAGGTATATGAAGTTATGAACTTTTATACCTCCACTGAAAATTTGAGTCTATAGGTATATTTTTACTACTATCCTCTAGTGTATTACCCCAGTTTGAGATGCTTCCACTGTATTGCCATAGTGAAGATGTCTCTCCCTTTGGCTAAGAAGCGTTGAGCCACCTCCTCTCTAAGTGTTGAGATGTCATCATTTGCTGGCTAAAGTATATGAAGTTAGGAACTTTTATACCTCCACTGAAAATTTGAGTCTATAGGTATTTTTTACTACTATCCTCTAGTGTATTACCCCAGTTTGAGATGCTTCCACTGTATTGCCATAGTGAAGATGTCTCTCCCTTTGGCTAAGAAGCGTTGAGCCACCTCCTCTCTAAGTGTTGAGATGTCATCATTTGCTGGCTAAAAGAGTATGGATGCTTGTAAATACGGAGAAGCCTCGGCTCCTTAACTGTAGAAATGTTGAGTTACCTCTGTATCTACATAATTGTAAGTTGCTTCTGAGGGCATTGAGTTGACTTTACCCCAGCTTACGGCCACAGACCCACCCGACAGGTCAAGATGCTTTCATTTTGGCTTTAAGATGCCTTTTCCCTGTCTATACCACGATAAAGATGCCCCAGTCCTACATGTTGTACGTGTACCGTTGAGATGTCTGCAAACCCTTCGTAATACAACGTCGCAAGCTAAGATACCTGGAGGAGAGCTGTGAGATGCATCACGCTTCCTTATAGGATTACGTCCTAAGAAAAAAATCGGACTAGTTGAGAGCCTCCACTCTAACGGAGTGCTGAAATGCCTCTATCCCAAAACTATTGAGATGACTCCGGAAGCCCGACTGATGTAAGGATGCCTCCAAGTCTTGTTAATACAACTCAAAGTTATCTTCAAAGAGTGTCGAGATGTCTTTACCCTAGCAAGGGGAAAGTTAGCTTTTATTCTTTGACTTCACCACAATAAAGATGCCTCCACTCAATAAATGAACTCTTTTGAGGATGACGAGATGTCTCCTCTCTAGCCAAGGGCTTAAAAAAACCTTTTCCCTTCCTATTGTTATAACATCGATCGGCTAAAAGATTTCACAAGCCTCTTCCGGTCCTCCACATAAAGCATTAAGAACCTGACGCGAAAAAGCCTTCATCCTAAAACAAATACCTCTGCATAAAACGTCGAGAACTTTGCAGGAAGGAGTCTTTGCCCTATAACAAATACCTCTGTACAAAGCATTGAGAACTTGGCATGAAGAAACCTTCTCTCTAAAACAAATACCTCTGCATAAAGCGTCGAGAAATTTACGCGAAGAAGCCTTTTCCTTATAACAAATACCTCTACATAAAACATCGAGAAATTTGCACAAAGAAGCATACACCCATAGCGAAAAGGCCTCCCTTATGTCATAACAACTGAGGTCTCCCCGCTAAGTAACACAACGTAGAGACCCCTCTACCTAGATTTATATCATAGTACACAAACAATTTTGAGCATATCTCTACTTTAAGCGTCAGGATTCCTTACCTTAAAAACCTACAGAAGAATTACTCTTTCAATCATGAATAATTTTCGCTCGAAGATAGCTCTGCATTAAGTGTTGAGACCCTCCAAACATAAAAAATCCCCAAACGATATTTTGAAGTACAGAAAATACCTTTGAATCTCCACCAAGCGATCAAGATAACATCTTTCCACTTAAAGGTTAAGCGTCAAGAATCCCCTACAAGGTATATCCAGTGGCGTAGAGACCACGCCCTGAGTTAATTTTATTTTAATACGAGTGTAAGAGGACGTAGAGTACCTGTACAACACTCTGTCTACTTAAAAGAATCAAATACTCCACGAACAAAGACATGATTTAAAGACGCGTTCAAACGATGAGGCCTCTTCCCATCAACTTAATCTACTTGAGGGTGTTGAGATGCCTTCTTTTTCGACGTTGTCTTGAAAACCCATCAACCCTATCATCCAAAATCAAAGTACCTTTGATGCCCTTTGTAGCGTCAGATGCGAACATCCTTCCTATAATCCTCCGTGTAAAATCATTCCCCATGAGAGAAATCATCTTCCACCCGTGGATCTATTCTTTGTATGAGATGACACTCTCTGCAAGTCTCTACCCTGTGAATGAGCTTAGGCCTCCGAAGACATATTTGGGAGATATTTTCTAGAGGAGTCATAGCTCCTCTGCCAAACAAATGTTATTATCCTTCATTTTCGTAAGTGTTGAGATGCTCCGACCCCTTTATTGCTATAAAGAAGCCTCCACTTTACAATAGAAAATTGTCCATTGTTATATGGCGTTAAGATGCCTTTGTCAATGCAAAGAGGACTCCGTCCATCAACTAGGTTCTTCTAAAAAAAAGGAAATGATCCACTTCAATCCCAAGTATAAGAACATTGAGATTCCTATATTTTGGAACAAAATAAAGAAGGAAATGATCCTTCTATTAAAGGGGGACAATTGGTATACCTCGGAGGTCACCTTCAGGAAATGTCAACTCTCCATCAGCCAAGACCTTTGGATACACCTTTCGGCTCACCAAAGCCTCTAAGAAACCCATATCTTCTGGTTGCATGAATATCATAGCTTCTAGACCAATTACAATATAGAGATAAGACATTTGACAAACTCAGATAATCTACCATAACAAAATCTAAGACTTGATGATCAAGTCCATTTAACATGATAATCTACAATTAACCATAATGACCATATGTTTAACATCATCAACTAGAGTCACTATAAGTACCTATTGACCTAACTAAGAGGGAGACCTCCACAATCTAAAAATAAACTATCACTTCCTCATGACCAACTTTCTCTCTCTTTCAAATAGAAATATTAACCAACAATCATTCTTTCATTAGTCGTGATTCTCCATCCAAATTAAAAGAGATAAATTATCTACCACTGATAAGATAAACTTATTTCTATCAACAATATATAATTCAGATTATCTCTTACCAAACAAAATTCCATAATCACGCCAGCAAAGATCCAGGTTCATAATACGTGACAATGTGGTTGTAATCACAATAATGGGCATAGTCGTACGAAATCTTTGGCTTTAATAATTGCATTTTGTGACTTACCAATACGAAGAAAGAAAAAATTAGTCTCATTTGATTATGGAATTGGTTCCATAAGTCAAATTCTAAAATATATATATATTTATATAAAACTCTTTTAGTTTTATATAAATAAGACAATTGGATAAACGAAAATATATGATGAGATTAACTTCTAGTTTTTTTTTTAGTGAATATTTTCTTTTTTCCTACTGTTAATCTCAACCATTTATTTTCACTCATCCAACAGTCCTAAATTTATCTATAAATATATATATATATATATATATATATATATATATAAGCATTTTGCTGTCTTATATAGGAACCAAAAACCTGGTTTTCTAAGACCCTGACTTGAATGAAAGAAAACGAAAGATCAATGGATGACATGAAACCCACCCAATCAAAATGAATTTTCAAACCAGAAACCTAACATATTCATTCACACACGCACAAAGAAAATGGTATAAATATTAATAAACCCTAACATATTCATTCAAGCTGTGTAAACGTTAGTTGGAGCATAAAAAGACTATTGAAATTGCGGACAGAAGCTTCACAAATTATTTCAGCCGATCCTGTGCAAACAAGAGACATATGGGACCTGATCCGATTCAAAGAACAAAAAGTAACTTGGCACAAATTAATTTGGTTCCCATTACATATTCTGAAGTTAAGTTTGATTGCCTGGATGATAATTCTCAACCGGTTGCCAACTAGAGACCGACTCAATACAATGGGAATTTGCACAGATCTCCACTGTGTAAACTGCGACACTAATATGGAGTCAAGGGACCATCTCTTCATGCAATGCCCACTGGCAGCAACTCTCTGGAATGCTATACTGAAGCTTAATGGGATGAATTCATCTTCCATGACATGGGTTGAAATGGTTTCAAAGGCTACTTCTTCATGGAAAGGAAGGTCACTCCTTACCACCATTTTGAAAATTTCTTGGACTGCATTTCTTTACTTCATCCGGCAGGAAAGATATCAAAGAATCTTCTTAGGACGTCATAGAACGGTGGAATGCTTGCTCAAGGAAGTTAAAGACGTTGTTGGGATCCGTCTAAGGGGTACTAATATTAATAGACTTGATAGTATTAATCTTAAGCTTTGTGATGTTTGGGGTATAGTCTAACTAATCTTTTTTGTAGAGGTCGATTTATTTTGATTGGTGACTGTTGATTGGTTGTACTTAAACTTTATTTTAGGTAATAAAATTCTGATTATCCAAAAAAAATATCATAACTTACCCAAAAAAGAAAAAATAAAGTGTATAAAACTGTGGATAGTGAATAGAACAGTGATCAAACTTTAAATTTCCATGGAAAACAAGAACGGGACATTATTTGTTTCGAGCTTCTTCCTTGTTGAAGATAGTGGTGACTCAGAGCTCGATCGTGGATCATCCATGGCGGCAGTTGCTGGCGTTGCTGATGAAGACGATGCGGAGTCATGTAGCTGTAACGAAACAATTAGGACCGAGAGATCATTGGATGATTTTTATGCAGTTCATCAACACGATGATGATGATTACCAAGACTCCATTGATTGTGGCCATTGGAGCAGGGGCAACGTCGGTTCTATAGATGAAGCCATTGGATCATATATGCAGAGAAGAGATGGATGGTATGGAAGATAGGCTGTTTTGGGAGACTTGCATGGCAGTTGGATACCCCATGACTTGAAAATCTTCTTTCCTGCAACTTTCTTGGAGGAAAAGATAAGAAAATCCATGGAAAATTGGAATTTATTGTTTGAAGAGCTAAAAATATGTTAAAAATTTAATCCTTCTTGATTTTGATCAAATGATTCTGATGATTAGTATTAAAGAAATGTTCTTACTTATAATGAAATCATTATTCTATTCGTATTGTGTAAAAGTTCATAGGTTAAAATATGTTACAAGTCTTTGTATTTTTTATACACTTAGAATTAATGCTCTTATTTTTTATTTTTGAGAATTTAACTTTTTACTTTTCAGATATAAAAACTCAAATGTAAATGTTAGTGTCATTAAAAATTTTCTGTTAAATTTATTAGTGTAATGTTTTGAAATATAAAAAAAATACTTCGAAAAACATGTAATCAAACAAATGATGTTATGATGGATTTAAATTTGAAAGAATATAAATTTTAATAGTAATAATAATTGAATTTTAATATTTTAATTTAAAAAGTAAAGATATTAAATTTTGTAAAAAAAATAAATTTCAAATATATGATAGCAAAGGAGTTTAATTTTTTTTATTTTGAATATTCTGAGGTGATCATAAAATAATATTTGTTCATAATTTCTCTTAGTCACTAATAAAGCACACACCCTGCAAACGTAAATGTTTGCACTCAAGACGTCAAAAGAAAACAACAGTACTCATTTTAATCATTGAGATCATTCAATGAGATCAACTTACGATCATATTTTAACTTAAAAATGAAATTTCTTCCCGTATATACCCTTTAATTAGAATGAGTCGAAGATAATACTTAACTTTTTCTCATTATGAAATCATTTTTTAAAAGTTCATCTACATAATTGTATATGAGATTTTGACTCCTCATTTAGTTCTTTTAAAATTATTGGGTCCTTTTCCTCATTTAAAAAACTCCTCCCTTTTTACACTATGTACCGAAGAGTAAAATTCAATCACATGAAATTTACTCGGTCCTGAAGAGTAATTAGGACAAATCCAATCACATCTTCATGTCACAGTTGAGCACTTCCTATCCTTATTTATTTTCAAAAGAGAAGATTGGTTTTACGTTTACTATAGCTTCTTTATAACAGTTAATTTTTTTTGGTGAATTATTTTTATTGAACTCAGAATATAATTAAAGATTGAAGATTTAATAGCCAATTATTGCTTCGTTAATTGATAAAACTTGTCATGTTTACAGAATACTTTTATAACAGTTAATTTCGTTCGATCCATGACCTCAAATGCAGTCGTGCAAACTCAGCTAATGTGGGTTTCACCACTACAGTCCAAGTTGACCGAGCAACCACACATTCAAAAATGATGTGTGAACAAGACTCAACAAATAGTGTAACTAGCATCAGTTAACATATACCGTTGCACCCTTTCTTCATTCGATAGTTGTCTACCTTTACAAATGAGCTAAACCAACGTTTTAACACACGGCAAGCCACGATACTTCCGACAAAATATCCCACGGTGGCGACTCATCCATGTTAATCTCAACTATCATCCAAAATTTTAGTATAATATTTATTGAAGAGGTGATTTGATTATACTTAAAAGAAGCAATTAATATGTTAAAAAATTGTAATAAGTTACATATTAACTTATAATTTAATCATTAATAACAATTAATCGTTTCTTAATAGTTATATATATATATGGATGTCCCTTTTTCCCATATGTATGGGGTAAGGGGGAGGTAAGATAGTAGGTTACCCTCAACACCAGGTTGAGAACAACTTCCGTAAGAGACCTCCGAATTATGAAATGCCCTCCGTAATAGTTAGATTACATTAAATAAAATTCAGTAATCGTTATAATAATTAACCGATCGTGAGCACCCATAAGAAAAAAAATTGGTTTTTTCGATCGATTTTTAAATTAAATCGACTTAATTGGCCATAATTTACATAATAGACTTGACTTAATTTTAAGCCTTATACCGATCTAACATAATCGACTTAAAATCGATTAATTCAATCATTTAACTAACTTAATTTAAATATATAATAAATATATTTAACTGATTTGACCAATTTAATCTATTAGATATTATTAATACCTTTAAAATATAAAATACGTGTCACTTTTTTATCGGATCCTCTTGAAAATTTTAAATTTAATAATCATTATTTATGACAGAAAAATTAACATCATAATTACACGAATAAAGCGATCTCAGTGGTTAAGAGATTTATTGTTATCTCTTGATGTCTCATGTTTAAACACCTCATATTCAAGGGTATGAATATTCATTGTAAAATAATTGAGAGTTTTTAAACATGTATATCTTGAATTCTTCCCATATTTATAAAAAAAATTAACTTCATAATTGAAAAATCAACCAAATCGTCCAAAATTGACTAACTTAAGTGAGAGTGTCGTTTTAAATTTTATCAGTTTAAACCGAAAATTGGTCTCTCCTAGAGAGGAAGATGTTATTGAGTTGAGGTTAAAACGTTTCTTGTACTAAAAATATATAATAGATTTTCCTATAACTAAGACTTTACAAATGTAAGCTTTTAATTCGAACTACAAAAATAAATAATATAAACAGAGACTCGATCCATAAAATGCAGCTTAAACAGTTCTAAGATCAAATTTTATCATATCACAATGAGTAGATTAACGTCCAGTTTAGACAATCGCCAATTTTTTAACGGAAAAGAATGAGTTTGGAACATATGAATAGTCAGATGATTATATTATAACTTTTAATAGTTAGAGGACTCAATAAAGCAATGTCTTATAGTCGAGAGACCGTTTTTAACTTTTAATAATCG